ATGAGGAACCCACAGACAGCAGCCACGGCCTGTAGGGGAAGGAGGGGGCAGCTGAGGGGGTCTGCAGTCACCAGACCCCCGTGTGGGGACGAATGGGGCAGCTCCTCCCCCCTCCTCCAGATACCCATGGGTCAGACAGGCAGTGGCACTGCAACACTGGGTGCAGGTGGAGGGGACACCCCAACACTGCGCCTCCGTGCAGCAACTGGGGCTGAGCGGGGACAGCTGAGTGCAGAGCTCTATGGGCGCTGAGCACAGCACAGCCCTGTGTTGTCGTCCCCCCCCTCCACGGTGCAGCACTGCGCTCAGGGTGCAGGAATGCAGCACAGCCAGCCCTGCTGCCATGAACCGGCAGCACCGGTCCCACCCCAGCACTGTGCAGGAACCTCACGGCGGCCCCAGCCGAAACCGGGGCCGTGCAGAACCCGCTGCCTTCTGCCCCACTGACCCCACCAGCACGGCACAGCAAGGCCCCACTTCCCCTCCCTGACTGCTTGTTCAAATGCTTTTACAAGCTTGGAGACCAAAGTACCCGGGAGCAGCTCTGTGCTGGGGCACAGCCCGTCCCCTCCCCGAAACTCCTCCACTTTAATGGCCACACGGTGCCATCTCCCCCCCCTTCCACCCCATGCAGCAGCACTACCGATGGGGTCACCGTCCTGATGGCACTAAGGACGGGGACACCACATCCCACAGCAGCCCAAGGGCAGGACACACACACCCCAAAGCGCTCCCCCTGCGACCTCACTCTGCCTCCAAACCCAGGAAGGACCGGGGGTCCGGCCATCACCAAGGCGGGGGGTTTGCACTCACCTCCTGGGGGTCCACGGTGCAGTAGTGGTAGATGTACTGGTTGAGGTAGGTGGTGCTATAGGCCTGGCTGCACATGGCTAGCAAGGGGCTGTAGTAGTAACTGCTGGACATCTGTGCCTGTGGGTTGACACCTATGATGTAGACGATGGAGGCGATGAGCATGACGAAGGCCAGCACAGCGCTCAGCACCAGGACCAACAGGTAGAAGCGCCGCGAGCGCATGGCCCTGGATTTGCTGAGCGCCGCCACCAGCAGCCCCAGCTGGGCCAGGAAGCACAGCACGGCCATAGCCATCATGAAGCCGTTGGCCGTGCGCTGGTTCACCGTTCCGTAGTAGCTCCCGTAGCCATAGCTGTAGCTCAGCCCGCTGCCATAGTAGTAGTTGGAGCCGTAATACCCCCCCAGCCCGGTGCTGTAGGTCCCCCCCAGGCTGTAGTCCCAGACGAGCGTGGATGCGACGCAGGCGAAGATGGCGATGCACAGCACCAGGATCCCCGCCTGCAGCCCCCGCACCACGCCGGGAGGCGACGTCCACTTGTAGAAGTGCTGCGGGGTGTCCTCCACGTAGTAGGAGCCCGGCGGCGGTGACCCGTAGCCGTAATCACCCGTGGGGGGGCCGTACCCCACTGGGGGGCCGTACCCCACCGGGGGGCCATCGTAGGACTTCTTGCTGAACATGGTGGCACTGCGGGGAGAAGGACGGAGCGGTGGCACCGCCGGCTCTCCGCCGTCCCCCCGTCGCGTTCACAGGGGACTTTGATCGCCGTCACCTCCGCCCGGCCGTGTGCCCGACGCGTCACCGCCTCTGGTGGGGAAACTGAGGCACGGTTTGGGGCGGGGAGAGCTGTGAGTCAGCGCGGCGCTCGGCCCTGCCCGCCGGACCCGCCGCGCATGGGGTCGTCTCATTAACACCACAAAAGCGCTCACCCGACGGCAGCGCTGACCCCCCGAGGGCCCCTCCGCCAGCAGAGCTGTTGGGATTAACGAGAACCAGAGCAGCGCCGCGGGGCTGCGCCGAGCAGCGGGGGTTCGCTGTTAGCGCTGCGTGGAGCGGTGCTGCCCCCACCCCGCCCCCCTCCCCAAAATGATTCGCCTCCGTCCCGTCCCGTGCGCTCCGAAGCTCCCTTTAGTTTTGCTTTGCTGGGAGCTCGCTTCCAGAGCGCAGCTGCAGCTGTTTGCAGACAGCGGGACAACAGGGGGGGGGGGGGGGCCGGGGGGGGGGGGATGTCGTGGGGGGCAGCGGGGGGAGACGCGGCGGCTCCGCGGCCCAAAGATCCCCCCCTCCCCGCTGCACAACCCCACAAACACGGCACAACCCCACGCTCTGACCCCCCCCCCCCGGCAGGTGCAGCGTGGGAAACTCGAACCCCGCGGGGTA